TCCACTTTGGGCGGTTTTGGGGCATTAGCAGTACGACAACATGTACAAGCGCGATGGGCATGCTGGGCAGTGCGTTTTGTGAGAGCATTACTCCAACCAGTCTTAGTGCGTCCGCCTTGGGTGATGGTCATGCACTCTTTCCTACATAGCCTTTACCCCAAATATAATCCTATGTGTATTTTTACGTCCCAGGTGGGAGTGCCTTGGTTTGGATTAATCGTTTTACCGCCAGATGTTCAGCGCATTGTGACAGCGTTGGCATACCTTCCCCCAGTGGAAGATGTTGATGACCACCCGTTAGTTCCTAATGCGTGGTGTTGGAATTTGCCATTGTGGGGAAACCCTGTTCTTCCAGAAAAAAAATTGAATGTCCAGTTAGATAACATCCGCCCGGGACTAGAATTTCGTCATCAAGCCCTCCTGGGCTGTAAAGCATTGCATACGTTGGGAGATGTTCTTTGCGCGCGAGAGGCCTTGGATGGAGTTATGAATGCAACGGACCAAGCAGGCCTAGCAATACGCAAGGCTTGGCATCAAATAGTGGATAAATACCTCCAACCGCAAACCCCACTAGCTAAATCCCTGTGCACCTATCGTAAATGGCAGGAATGTATGGATGCTATTGCCGCTCTTCTAGATGATATTCCAGCGAATTGGAGACAGGCGGCTAGTCTTTTGTTGCCGCTGAGTGTAGAATCTAGGGAAGATATGGTGCCCCCTATTGAGTCGGTTACTCAAACCCTAGTGTCGAGGCTTGGTTGGAGATGGGGTGTAGGGCCTCCAATCCGATTCCAACAATTATCCGTTAAAATAGCGACTAATATGCAACTTTCACCTTTTTCGATGGCTCGCCGTGTGGCCCATACCCTTTTCATCAAAGAGGCGACGGGTTCTTCTGAGATATTGGATGAAGCTATTCTTCTTTTGCAACGGACATTCCATCGTTTATGGTTTCATTTACGGTGGGAAAATGAACAAAAAGAGATTTGGTGGCGTCTTGCGGTTGATGGGGTGCCTATGTTAGGAAATTCCCATCTTAGGATGTCGCGCCCAACGATATGTGGTTGTGGAGGTTATCCAATAGGTTCAGTGGGAGGTGTATCCCCTCGCTATCATCATTTCAGAGGGTTGCAAAAACGGTCTAATCCCCCAATCCCGGGGGGTGGTAGTGGTCAGCCATCCCCCCATCCTGGCTGGGGTGACCGACTCCCATCTCACATCTTAGGGGCCCGGTGCTAATCCCATCCCTTGAGACAGGTTTCCCATCCTGCCAGCCTGGGTCCCATCCCCAATCCTA